GGTATATTTCAGTTACACGAGAATTCAATTAAACGGAGAATGTTGGAAAATGTTGCGACGATTATTTCAAAACCATCGAGTACAAATTTTATCGTACGGTAATTGCATTTAGGGTAAAGATTAAAATATATTGGAGGGCAATTTTTTAAATAAATATTCATGAACATGATGAAAATATATATATTTTTTAATCGCGCGAAAATTCGGTCGAACAGAGAACGTTTCAAAACGTGCGACGGATATATTTTAAAACCTTCGCGTAATGTTGCGAAAAAAAATAAATTATATCCGAAACAAAATAATTGAATAAATAATTGAATAACGCGAATGAAATAAAAATTAACGTCAAAAAATTCAATCGAAACGTGAGAATTCGAAACGTGCAAACGAGTATTTCGAAATCGCCGTGTACAAATTTTTCAAAGGAAGCAAAACCCGTAGAACTCGGCTCGTAGCTCACCCCATATATATATATCTATCGAAAACTGAGAAACACCCCTCGTTTCCCCAATTCCAAACGTTGTCGTTGCTCAACGTTGCGAGTGCTCCGTGAGAGAATGTTCGAAAGTAACCTTTTTTTTCCAACGAAGAGGATACACTTAGAAAAGAAGAGAGAGAGAGAGAGAATTTCGGGCCGCTCCAAATGAGTCACGACTCTCTCGACACGTCCTTCTCTCAGGCGACGAAATAACGTTGCGCGGCCATGGATGTAACCCGTGGATGTTTAGGGTCTCGAAGGAGAGGTTGGCTCTCGTCGGTTGGAACTTATTTTTAGGAATTCCAACGAGCCACCCGACGACGAGCATCGAGCGAAAGATCGTTCTCATGGCCGCGTTCTCCGTCTTACGGTACGTTCTACGGACGAGGCGGAAGAAGGCACAGAGTTATAGAGGTCTGGTTGTTGTTTTCGCGGTTCTTCTTTTCTCCTTTCTCTCTTATTCTCTCTCGCCTGCTCTCTCCTCGTCGCCTAGTTTTTCACTCGTTGCTTTACGGGTCCTGGTCGCTCTTCCCGCACAGGTAAACTCACCTGAGGCGAGTCCTGCCAAGGACACACGCGTAGGTAACCGGAGAACCTATATACGCGAAATGATTCCGGGCCTTTTAAAAACACACCGTTTCGCCATCTACGCTCCCCGGCCCGGTTCGACTTCGAAAAAGGTCGCCTCTCTAAGATCGGTGTTGGAGCACGTTCAGGTATATATACACATCCGTGACCGTGTCTCTCTCCCGTAGAAACCTTCTGGGAAGCGGATGGATTTGTCGTCGAGAATAAATTATCGATTTTTCTTCCTCCATGGTCGTGGCAAAAATAAAGGGAAAAAGGAGGGGGGAGTCCGTGGGATGGAAATGGGAATTGGGAAGCAACCGTCCGTACGTATTTCTCACAGGAATGATAGAGAGGTGGTTTCGCAAAGGCACGGGAATAACACCGGTGCCGGTGGGGGATATTTGCCCGTGGAAACAAAGCATAGGCGATTAAGTCGGAGCCGACTCGTACGCACGATAAAAATGTTGCCTTGGTGGTTCTTTGCGCGTTTAGTCGATGCAAACGAATGCAGCACATTTAGATTGAGGGATATCGGCGCCTATGTATATCGCGGAGCTAGATAGCCAAGCTGCTCGTGGGTTATCTTTGCATAAAATTGCACTTCTGCCTTCGACCAAATTCCTCCATCTCGCCTCCATGGGCCACGCTGGTTAATTATTCCGTGAACCCGTTTTCAGAGGGGGTTGCGTAGGGGGGTTACGTGGTAAATTTCGTTAGAACGAGTTTTCCTACGTGCGCCGAAAAGTCAACTACGTACACGTTTAAATATAGAGCGTGGTGACACGGTAGCAATCGACCCGACTCACAGTACGGACAGATAACGTTAAGCCTCTAAGTCGCGAGGTGGGATAAGGGGCGAGCTGGCTGCTCTTCGCGTTAATTAATTCGATGCTACGTCACCGCGTATGCGTTCGTGTATGCGATTAGAAAATAAGCTACGCTTTAAAACAAAAAGAAAAAAAAACAAAAAAGAAAAAAGAGAAAAAGAGAAAAAAAAAAAAGAAAAACAGTTGAATTTTTCCTTCTTCTCTATTCTTTTATCCTCGATCGTTTGGTATTCTCGTTAAATCGTTCGCCTATGTTCAACCATCCTATTATTTATCCGCGGCATGTCGACATTATGTCGGCCGAGACAACGGAGCCGCGTACTCACGGAGAGTCCGTTAGAATTGCGAAATTGACGTGACATTTGCATCTTAATAAGGAGCATAGAATTACGCGGCGAAGCGGGAAGCGGGACGAGCGGGAAATGGCGAGGAGAGGGGAGGGAAGGGAAAAAAAATTATTGAAAGAAGGATACCGTGACGTTTCTCCCGGCGAATCGGTGAACCGCGTGTGGTAAATTGCGCGCCGCCTTTTGCTCCACCGTTTCCTTTTATTTCCGCGGCGATCTCGCGCCGTACAAACGCGTATCTCGTTGACGTTCCTCCTCCACGCGGGACCTCGTATTTCAACCGTGCTATCGACGCAATTAATTTCCTTTTCTGTCCTTTTCGTTGGAAGCGAGAATGAAGGTTGGAAAGGCAGCAGTGCGCGCGAATCGTTGTCCCTCGCGTGTCGGTATCTTCCTCGAGAAAACGGGAGACCGATTATGTATACGAGAAACTTGGCAAAAAGTTTCGAAACGAGGAAGTGGAAGTCGTAGCCGATACTCTCGGCCGTGGGACGTGTCCCGCTAATTCAGAGATTACGCGCCGTCCTCACGAGCGGATAAACAAATTGTCGAGGGGGAAAGGGCCCACGATTACCCCCTGCCGTTCGATCGTGTTCCCCCTCGGCCCATTCTTGCAAGGAGAGATAATGAATTTTGATATCCAACCAGCATCAGGCGTTATGAAATTTTCTTCACATTTATCTTCCCGTTCATTATCCTCTTCCACGACGTTTGTAAGTACGCGTATACGCGGGGATTAAATTCATTTCGTTAGCTCGTATGGTCGTCGATGGGAAGATTACACAGCCGATTACATATAGGTAAATCTAAGTCGCCTCGCCCACTCGTTCTTTACTTACCATCGATCTGTCGTCACCGATGTCTAGAGAGGTCGTTTTATAATGTCAGATGGAGAGGGGTCAGGGGAGGAAGCATGGTACACGCACACCGGCGGTACACGTGAAAAGATAAGCAGGTGACAATCCTCTTGCGGCGGTTTTCGAGGCGTGTCCTTCGAACCCTTTTACACCCCGTCGATACTTGGACGAAGATATAGTAGGGCCGGTGCGCGCGACAAAAGGGCCGCGCGCGCCTCGCGTATACGAGATTATTCGTCCGCGTTTCGTTTTCGTTGCGTGCGCGGCACAGGAGCGGGCGCATGCGCGATGGCCTCCTCATGCGCGGCCGGCGCATGCGCAGTCTCAGTCGCGGCACGACCACCGCCGCTGCCGAGTCGTGAGAAGTGACGAACCGTGACGAGATCGGACCACGTTGGAGGGGGTAAAGAAGGGGTGCTCCGCAGCCGGTGGAGAGCGCTGCTCATTTTCTGCCATTGTAAATTGATCTATTCAATGGGGCCCGGTATTATCCCGTGCGGTCCACACATCGTGCGTACTCTATGGGGCCCCGATACATTCCACACGCAACCAGAACCCCGTCTCTCCGCGCTCGCTCCCTTTTTGCGCGTTGCCTTCGAAGCTTCGGCTTTGGCTTCTCCGTGTTGAGGCGGTCTGGCTTGCCTGCGACGTAGCAACGCGCTCGGCAGGAGCGTCCCGCTGTGCCACGTTACGCGCATTGTTGTGCCCTTTTTTACCAGATGGGTCGGCCGTCCCAGTTTTCGTGCCCACAGTGGACACTCCGCTGCGAAAATTTCGTTTTCGTCGGCGTCCTGTTGCGCCGTGTTGCGCTTCGCTGCGTTTAAATTAATCGTTCGTCCGAGAAAGCATCGATGCTCTTTTGTGGTTACCGAGATATATTCGTTCGATGAAATTTCTCATCGATATTTTTCGCGACCACCAAAAAAGAATATAGTATTTATCCGTTGACTTAACTCGCAATGAGGTAATCGTGCCACCTGAAACGCGTAGGTCGCCCTTCGGACGGTCGAAACAGTGGCCAACAGCGTGGAACGTAGGCGTGTGGAGGGCCATCGCGATGGCAAGACGATGAAATTGCGTTGGGCCAGCTTGTAAAGACAACGGTAGAGAAAGGAGGCGAGTGGGAAACGCCGGACAAGGACCCGTCGGGATTTATTGGTGCAATTAGAATGCACCTCCGGGGGCATTAAACCCTTGTAAAACGCTGGCCCCCGCACTCCGACGGCCTGACTAATGCGACCGCGAGACAGGCACGTCCTCCACGCACGCTACCTGCTTTCCCACTTCGAAGGTGTGGACACTGTTTCCTATGAATTTATGTATTTGTTTCTTTTTCTCCCTCTCTCTCTCTCTCTCTCTTTCTCTTTCTTTTAACCAGAGAAGATATTTACGAACAGTTTAGATCTTCTCCAGTGTGCTAAAGAATTTAAAACTTATCTCGAATTTATAACTTACACGAAATCAAACTCTTGTCTTCAATTTTACGAGTTACGACTACTGAATACAAATTAACGTATAACGTTTCAATATTTCGTATCTGATTCAATTATACCAGTTAATATTCTTCTCTCAGAATATTCTTAACTTTTGTAATCGAGTACTTTTATTTATCGCGAATAATATATTCGATTATCTCTTTATCGATTAAAACGTTAAAATATCAAAATCTGGAGATAGATAGTCGTAAATTTTATGATTTTCCCTATCAGATATTGATTGAACGATCGTGTTCTAAGATTAAAATGGTTATCAAGGAAATTGTAAAGCAAAGGGTTAAAACTATTTACAAACGAATCAGAACTTGTTTACGCTTATTATTTTTAACGATCCATATTTCGATAAGCGGATCGGCCGACTCCTTCCCTTCTTCTTTCCTTCCCATCCCTCGACAAGGAAGAGTGTAAACAGATGTAAAGTCGCATTATCATAATCGCGATAACAACAGCCGCGACGTCTCTTTTGTCGTCAAAGGCGTGATCATCGTTTCCATGATCGATGCATCGACTTATCTCTCGTAACGCTACCGGTATTTTCATGCTAAAGTTCGATCGGCAATAATCTCGCGATTATACGAATCTCCCTCCCTCCCTCCCTCTCTCTCTCTCTCTCTCTCTCCCTTTTTCCATGAA